CAGGGGCCGGTTGCATAAAAGGTTTAGACTAGTCTTAAAAGTTAGTCAGCTAATTTTTTCTTTAAGGCAGGTCATATTTTTTTTTTATTTACTTAAATAAAAATGTAGATTAGTCTAAGTTGAATCCAAAAAATAAGACTGATTACCCTTTGGTTAACTGCTAGTTGGTCAGACTAGTACTTAAGACACTGTCTTAACATAGAGGCTAAGTTTATGCAACTGGGCCCAGAACGTTACTGTGCTATGTGTATTTTTTGAAAATGTAAAAAATTCACATTCGTAATGTCAGTGAAAGTTCAGTTACTCACTGGATATCCATATGACAGCATGAATTAAGAGATACAGTTACAGACATATATCCGCATCAAAGTTTTGTTGTTATTTACTGTATTCTAATTTAAAGGCCTATTATAATTTTAAAAAGCATGCTGTGTGGTCCAATGTCGATGACACCCCTCCTGCTGAAAAAAAACGAATCTATAGAAACACAGACATGACTAGCAGCTCTAAAATTATGTAAATGTCCCTTTGCACATATACAGTACTGTAAAGTAAGTTTGATACCTTTTGCCCCTGCAGGCCCTCTGGACCTTTACCTCCAGCAGGTCCATGAGGGCATGTTAGACCAGGGGGTCCATCTGCTCCTCTTGGACCAGGGGGGCCAGGGATACCAGGTTGGCCCTAAAGAAAGCAGGAGGAAGATGTTTTAAGGTGGAATATTTGATAAGCCACTTCACTGAGATCAGCAGTGTTAGGCTTAAACAGCAGGAGAGCTAAAGAAGTTGGTATACTCACCCGTTCACCTTTCTCTCCTTGTGATCCCTTCGGCCCCATAACTCCATCAAAGCCTCTGTCACCCTGGACATCAACCAATGAACGTTACACGATTTGTTCAAATTTTTATTGTACCTTTTCCACTTTATTCTTTGAAATTAGAAGGATTGCAGAGTATGTAGTCCTATGTTGCAGTAAAATAGTTCATTTTGTTGTCCGCTGGCTTATTCAGAAGGGATTTTAAAAGAATTGGTACGTTGATACAAATCAATCTTAAAATAATAATAAAAATAATAATAATAAAATATAGTATTATTACTACAGATTCAATTCAAGCCAACTGTGACGTAAATGTTGGTATGTACCGACTAAATTCATAGTTTTTGATTACTTGTTTAATAATATACACTACAGTTCAAAGGTTTGGGGTTGGTAAAGATGTTTTGAAAACAAGTCTCTCAAGGCTGCATTTATCTGATGAAAATACAGTAAAACTTATAATATTGTGATATACAGTATATTAATGTATTTTATATTGCAATTTATTCCTGTGATGCAAAGCTGAATTTTCAGCAGCCATCACATTCCAGTCTTCAGTGTCACATGATCCTTCAGATATTTCATTCTATTAAGCTGACTTAGTGAGTGCTCACGTAACATTAAAAAACAGTTATGCTGCATTTTTGGGAAACCATGATCCACTTTTTTTAGGATTATTTGATAAATAGAAAGTTCCAAACAAGGGCATTTATTTGAAAGAAATCTTTTGTAACATTATGAATGTCTTTATTGTCATCATTGCTGAACAGAAGTATTAATTTCTTAAAAAAAAAATCCTAATGACCCCAAATTTTGAACAGTAGTGTACATATTACACATCATAATTACTTGGAAAAACCTGAAACACTTAGGCAACATGTAATTGTTTTAATTATTTCTATTAATATTTAGATTTTTTTTGACGTGTTCAACAGCATATGTGTTCCATCAATTATATCAACAATTACTGTACAATTGTGAAATTATGTATCGTGACAACACTATTATTAAATATATTCTCAGACCATTCTCAGGCTATATTCTATGTTTCCCATGAAATATGCTCTTACCTTGGCTCCAATGAGTCCCTCCTTCCCTGGACTTCCTGTGGGACCTGGAGACCCGACTTCACCCTGAAATAAAATTTGCCATCAAAGCAAGATAACGACAGGAATCGCATACATGCCTCACACATAAATAAATTAATGTGTACATACCTGCTCTCCTTTCCTCCCTGGCAATCCCGGTCTGCCATTAATCCCAGCATCCCCCTATGAACAGACACAATTCATCACTTCCAGCAAAACATGGTGACACAACAAAAACTTTCCTTGAGCTCTCCTTATTACTCACCTTGTCTCCCTTTGGTCCGCTTGGTCCACATGTTCCCTTGGAGCCTCGTTCTCCCTGTAAGCCATTAAACCTCAGTCAAACTGTCAATCACTCAATGTTACAGGGAGTAATGACAATGGAGAAATTACTATTTAGAAAGAATAAAGCACCATTCATGTCTCAGTCATACACACAAGCACACAAACTCACACACACCCTTCAATTACTGTCTTTCTCATTAGTGACAACAGATAGAGGTCTATCTGGGATGCTGAATCCAGATAAAAGTTCTTATCTGCAATGTGAGTGTGTGTGTCTATGTTGCCGCTGGCTGAAGGGCAGCTAGTACTGTCTGCAGCAGCCCATGTATCCCTGAGAGGAATGATTCATACACAGGAGTCTTTCATGTGCCACACTGCACTCGACAAATCAATTTCTCCACACATGCACACACGCGCACACACATTCACACACAAAAACTTTAATACTATGGCTCTGAGGTACATATGCAGATGAATGTCAGACACAATGGCCTGGAATCCAGACTGTGGCGGAATTATAAGCAGTGTGATCATCTGGTCTGAAGGGCTACTCAAGGTTACCGATAAAGCTTAAAATAGTCAGCTTGAGTTTTAATCAAAGAGACAACCATTAAAACGCACACACATAAACACACCTTGAGGCCTCGCTGACCTACGGACCCAACCTCTCCCTTCTCTCCTCTCATGCCAGGCAGACCATCTTTACCATGTGTTCCCTGTAGAGGACAGATTAAAAAAAAAAAAGCAGTCATGAGGAAACGGCTGAGTCTGGGGACTATATGTGCTAGTCATGTGCTGATGTTATAGGCATCTGAATAAGAATACGCACTGCTTCTCCTGAGATACCTGGCTGCCCTGCTTCTCCCTGCAAATGATAAGCAAATATTTGATCAATATGGCGTTCACACACATTTGCAACATATACACATACATATGCAAACATTCCCAAATGTATTCAGGCATATGCATATGTTTATTCTTGTTCATTTGTGAGGAAAGTGAGTGTATTTTTCACCTTCTGACCACCAGGACCACGGGCTCCCTGGAAGCCAGAGGAACCTCCCCTCTCAGACCCTGGAAATATGATAGAAAAATCACAAATGAGATGTCTTTTTAAATATCTTTGTCATTTCTCTCAAACAGCAATGAGATTAAAGGGGGAACAAATTGAGTCTCTTGCTTCTCAGTTTATTCCGCTAAGAAGAGACCCCAACATGACTTCTCTTAGAGTTTAAGAAGAAATCTCAACAACGTCTGTAATCAAAAGAAAGAGATTTCAGTATACTCAAACATTTCACATCAGATTCTTTAAAGACCAAATTTTCTGAGCTAAGCCATCCACATAAATTTTATAGCTCTATGCTCTTATTTTTGTCTATATTTCGTTCACCTGAGGAATTTTAGGAGACATCTTAGACATAAATAAAAATAAATGGGTTCTGAAAGAGCAACCTTTAAAAGAAATCAAAAGAAAATAACCATTTCATTTAGAAATGCACCAGTATTAAAATTGTGGCTAATAGCAATAAGATGATATTTTTATTCATGTTAAGACTGATAACCGATCAATAGTCTACATTAAATTGTATACTATTTTGTCTAAATTAAAAAAAAAAAGCTAAAATTGTTTTAAATGCCACAAGTGATTTAGGCATCACAACATTTTATTGTAGTTGTATATTATTAAAAAATTATAAACAAGAAAAAACATTCTTACCTGTTCTCCTGGTGGTCCTTCCTGTCCCTTTGCACCCTTTTCACCCTGTGCACCTTTAGGGAGAGTAGTGATCAATACAATCGATTAGTTTACATCAACCCAATAGATCTGCCTTTATCCTGTTGCTTACTGACTCATTAACAATCTATAGATCCTGAGGCAGACACACATGAATACTTTATGACCATTTCACATAGGCACATGTTCTCAATAGATAAGAGACCTTCAGCAACCCAACCTTTATTATTGGCCTTTAATCTTTCATAAAGTGACCCAAAAGCATTAAACACCTGACACAACTTAATCAAAACTATTTGACTCACGGTTTCTCCTTTCACTCCTTTCTCCCCTGGAGGTCCCCCCACCAGCAGAGTATCTCCCTTAAAAATTCAAAATCAAATACAGCAATATACAATCCATTAAATATGTAGAAACAACAGTAATATATTTAATATGCAAAATAAACCTCCTTTTAGGGTGACACAAAACCCTGCTACTTCGCATCATAATCTGTACTGGGGTTTATTTTGCGATAATACATGATTCTGTACACGATTCTGCTTATTATATGTCTACAAATAAATAAATGCACTTGAAATATTAATTTGCATTTAAATCATTTTATTACTTAAGAAGAATCAAGTTTATCTGTCAAATTCACCAGCTATCATTGAAAAATATTGGAATGACCAATCAGAATCAAGTATTCCAGGAAGCTGTGTAATAAAGAATGATAAAAGCATATTCAAAAAAACTATAAAAAACAAATGACCTTTTCACCTTTGATTCCAGAAGGACCTTGTTCACCCTGTGAAGAATTGGTAGTTTATAAAGTTTAGTTTATAAAACGTGTATATAAAGGAATGTATTTTAGCAAAGTAACAGAACAGCCTGAGACAGATTGTAGCAGTTGATGAAAAGTTATACACACCTTATCTCCTCTGTTTCCTTTGCTGCCAGGAGGACCCTATCAGTGGGACAGACAGATGAGTAGAGGAGAAATCTTATTTGCCTGAGCATTTGTATGCATTTGTAGATAGATGACGTGCAGCACTGCAAGAGGCCTTGGCTCATAATGGTTTTGAAATTGCAGCGAGTGGGAGACAAACACATCATAGCCCAGAATATAAAGTGTGACGAATACAGTGTGTTCGTACAGCTACCTCTCTGCCTGCATCAGCCTTTCCACATCTAGACGAGGGCTCAGATCAATGACACCCATCAAGAGAGACTGACTGTTACTGCCTGACTGACATCAATATGTGCAAAAAACAGGATGTGGTGGGGTAAAAAATAATGAGTGAATGCTGAATGTTGTGAACGGAAAGTAGGAGTATATTTACAGTAGGGCCTCTCTCTCCATCTGTTCCAGTCCGACCTTCTTCTCCCTATAAAAATTAGACAGATACACACACTATAACAATCTACATACAAACAAATGAACAAGAGATGGAGTCATTGTGGACATTACCCTAGGCCCTGGGTCTCCTCGCTCTCCTCTTGAACCTGGCACTCCAACACCAATTTCACCCTGAATGTGGAGGAAAAAATGAGAGAAAAAGGGTAATGACTCTGTGTGTCACGCAGTTCACTTCATTTTTGTCCAGAACCTTACTGAAGTGGCTCTAACTGCAGAGAGACAAGCTGGTATCAAAGTTTTAGCTTTTTAGACCTGCTTCCTTAATTCCAAAATAAACACAAATAAATTGGTCCTAAAAGTCTAAAACCACTTTTAAAAATGCTTTTATTCTGTATTTTTCTACTTTTAATTACAAATTATATAATCAGTATAACACATTTAAGTAAAAAGGTTCATCAGCATGAATTTCAAAATGTCTTACTATTTCTGTATTTTGCTTTGTATTTATATGCACTTGGGCACAATATGCAGTTGTTTTCCGGTTTAAATGGGGGAAAAAAATTTTTTTTCTGATTTTTGAACTATATACTATATATAATATGCTGAAACATGACTGAACAGCCCTATAAATATACAAGCCAGGGCTCTACAGTGCGAACATTAGTCACATTTGCGACTGTAAATGTCTGTGAAAAAAAATTAGACGCACTGGTGCAACTGAGCGGATTGAAGCTCATGAATAAATTAACACTCAGTAGGTGCCAAATGCCAGTAAAAACTGCAAAGACTACGACTGAATTATGTACATTTATAGTCTAACGCGCTGCGTGCTTCAGAGTAAAGCTTAAGGTCTCCGTGGGGTTTTCCACAAAAATTAAATGCTATGCTTTAAAGATTGAATGCAAATAAATTAAGACAGCCATAAATATTAGTATTGTAATTGTATTGTTGTAAATTAAACTGTTATTTATTTATTTTTTAGCAGCTGTATTTTACATATTTTACAATTGTATTTGGTTTATCAAAAGGTAAACTTCTTTGTCATGACTCACACAATGTTCCTGATTTCTGTCATAAAAGCTCCGTTCTCTCATGCTTACTTGCGCATGACTTCGTCTTCAGCTGTTCCTAAATTTTTGACTGTGCTCTTAAATTTTTTAAATTAGGAGTGCTCCTAAAAATTGTAAGCCCTGCAAGCAACTCATCACTTACCTTATCGTCCTTAAGTCCTGGAAGGCCCGCAGTACCCTAATATGAAGATAAAGACATCAATGAATACCACTGAGGGTTATACACACACACACACAATTTTACTTGCTCTAAGAAACACCTTAATGCAAATGCTTATACGCAATTATTTGATTTTAACATGTCTGTGACTTACAGGGGGTCCTGGGGGCCCAGCAGCTCCTGGTGTTCCTGGGTTTCCGGCTTTGCCAATAAATCCTTGTAGACCCTTACAAGCACCAAGAGGAATTGCGATCATTGGATGTAGCCAAATTCAGTAAATGTTTTTGTCTATGATGGTATTTAACCTATTTCTTTATGTAATGATAGTAATTCTAAATAAGTGATGTTTTTAGTGTACATTTGTTTCTGTATGTGCGGCGACTCTACTAACCCTCTCTTCTGGTGGTCCTGGCTGACCTGCTTCACCTCTCTGCCCTGCCAGTCCTGGCGTGCCATCCAATCCACGTGGTCCATGAGGGCCCGGATGACCTGGTAAGCCAGAGTCACCCTACAACAGATTAAAATTTTTTATTTAATATTCACACTAGATTTTTACATTTTCTGTCGTTGATCATGCGGCTGGTAGGGCATTGCTATGTGGTCTATTTGAGGTATCATTCATGTTTTTTACAGAAACGATGTGGGATAAGTTAAGCCCAAAGTATACTTCGGCCATCCGCGTTCTGCAACGGTCCATGCACTGTCCTTGTGACACGATTTTTGCCATCAGAAGTGTCTGCGGACGTCCGCACACACCGTCCGTGTGCAGTCCAATTTTTGTGACCATGCGAATGGTCCATGTACAACAGCGCAGGCGCAAGGTAAATGTTGAGACAGAACGAGTCAAGTAGGTGGTACTGCACATGTGTCGAGCTTGTCCATCCACGTTCATCCGCGGTTGAGTATACTTTGAAAGCTGTGCGGACTCGGCTGTGCACGAAACAGAACAGACCGCGGAAAGTGAAGTATACCTGGGCCTTTACGTGCCAAAGTTTACACTTAGGGTTATGGGTCTGTTAGCAACAGTTCAATTTTATTTTAACTCTAAAATAAAATTAATCAATTACCTTTAAGCCGATGGGTCCAGATTGTCCTGGAGGCCCAGGCATTCCCACACCTGCCTCTCCTTTGACTCCTTTGGGCCCAGATGGTCCTCTCATTCCCTGAACAATGAATGTGAAAAAGTCTTTAAATGAAGCATGTATTATAGTGGAGATGAAATGGATGATGGTTGCTGGCAGTTCTGCCTCTGAAGTGACTGCAGGTACTCACATTCTCACCAGGATCTCCAGGATCACCCGCAGCACCCTGTGAGTAAATACCACTTTAAATTCTATTTCTACACATTGTACATTGCCTTGTTAGTGGACACTCTTTTCATAGTAATGCTACTCACTCTTTCTCCTTTGATCCCTGCTGGCCCTTTGTCTCCTTTTGGACCCTAAAACACAAAACAGGCACACAAACAAAATCAATACAGAGTATGAAATGAGAATTCAGAATTACTTATACAAATGACATTAATGATGAAGGATGGCTGACGACAGAATATGACGGCAAACTGTGGGAACAAATAATGAGGCATAAATAAATATCCAGAACACATATAAACCTATATAATACATATATACACCTATATACACATATAAAATAAATTCATTGGAATGTATTAGACAGAAGCTCCAATAAGTAACCAAAATGAGTGAAACTCACCGGTAATCCAGGAAGGCCTCTTTCTCCAACTGTACCTGGCAATGTCAGACCAGGAGGACCCTTTTTTTTTTTACCCTTTTTTCAGATATTATAAAGTTTCCATCATAGGTGAAACTGTGAATGGCATCTCTTGACAGATTAGTTACTCCTGGAAGTATTCAGCTGTACAGTGAAAGCAGGTGATGGATTTGCCTGTGGCATTTAATGTGCAATGGGCCACAATAGTTTACTTCCCTGTCTCTGTCCTGTCATAAGTTTGTCGATAAATGTGGTAAATATATATATGGAGCACATCAGTGCAAAATATCTAAATAAACTCACACACAATCAGGCACAATTACACAGGATTTGTGTCAGAGAGCTGGCAGAATGCTGAAAAAGAGGTAAAATAAAGTTTGCACAATGTTTACTCACTGTTTCAGTTTTTTTAAGGTTTAAAGTACAGCTACATACAGCTAAATCTATTAATCAGAAACACAAAGGAACATTAAATGATTGTTAAAGCTTAGTGGCATGTTGTCAATTATCACAGACAATAAATAAAAATCACATTTATAGTAATGCAATTAGAAGTCTATAAAACAAGGCATTCAAAAGCAGAAACAGGCAGCTTGAATTTTTGTTAAAGAGTTATTAATTATTCTAAACACGAATGTGTGTTATTTGATTTTTAATATTGTCTAAATAAAGTATTTGAGGTGGGCCTACTGTTGTACAGTAGGTGGATTTGTAAAAAAAAATCTTGTATCACTGCATGTACCTTGTGGAAATGAGCATAATTTACATGTTTTGTGTTATGAAACACATTAAACCTCCTTGTGTTGGCAAACAATTCGGGTAGCAAACACAATAACCAAGAAGTTAACTAGATGGAAAGTACATAGAGACTGTCAAAAAATGTCTAAACTTTGTATGTAAAAACATACCTGAGGATCAAAGAAAGCTTTTTATCCATAGCAGTCATAAAATATTAGATTAAAGTCTTTTACTTTACTACTTTGTGCTACTCCTCAGTTGGCATTTGAGTATGACAACACTGAAAGATCTACTGAAGAGCTCACGTACATGGTGCTCTAACATTACTTTTGCTTCAAATGAGATTATCTGTCATGCAGGTGAGACACGTTGATCTTCACACAGTGTTCGCTATGATGTAACCATGGCAACAACTCACCATCTCACCCTTCATTCCAGGGGGTCCGGTGACAGACTGCAGAACACAGTGGAAATAAAAGGAGAGAGATAAATTGAGCACGTTGGGAATTAAAAGCATAGTGTCAATCAAACTACACATTACGTGCAAATCCACACATGTAGATGCACATATGGATGCACCTTTCCTGGTGGACCGCTGTCTCCTTGCTCTCCTTTAAGTCCTGGGGGACCGATGGGTCCGGCAATACCCTCAAAGAAAGTGACAGAGAGAGATAATAAGACAGAGAGAGAGCGGTTAAGTGGGGAGGAAAAGAAAGAAGCATAGAGAACATGAAAAAAGGTGCAGAAGATCATGAAATTAACGCATATATGTCTTCATAAATGTCAAGGGCATCTGATCACTCACCTGCTTCCCAGGTAACCCTGGCAGGCCATCTTTCCCTGGAACACCATCTCTCCCTGGGACCCCAGGCTTGCCCCCTTCTCCCTGTTTATGCCATCATGTTAAAGATAACCTTGTTACTCAAAGAAGTGCCAGGCCTCACAGTCACATTGAGTGAACAAACAGTTTTCATTATCACTTATCACCAACACAAACATGCTAAAGAAACAAATAAAATCCATTTCTGTGTATGGTAATAGATGAATCCTGCAGATAAAGTAGCAGAATACTTACTTACTTACTCCTTACTTAGCTAAGTATTCTAATTCCTTACTTTTTTCCTTATACTTTTTCCCTTATTGTTTGAATCATATACTAATGTTAATATTTGTTGCTAGAAACAGCTGTCAGGGTTAGTTTATTATACATTATGTAAGTGTTATGTTCAGTTTATAAAAAATATTTAACAAAAACAGAGTAAAAAAAAAATCAATATTTTGATAAAAACATAAAATCTATTGATATAGTGTGTGAACATTTATTCTATAATGAAAAAAATCAATTAGAGAATTCGAAAGTCGAGAGTTTTTAAGTTAAGTGCAACTGAATACATCACATAAACATAAAATACTATTTTTGGCACTAGAATATTGACTGTTGTGGGGCAATGATATTTGCAAGCTAATCTTCATTAGGCTGTCATTTTTGACTAGATTGCTAATAATACAAAAATATTTTGACAATGAATCAAGTAATGACTGAAATTTTACAATAAAAATATACTTAAGTAGGCTTATGCATGCTTTAAAGTATAATGTATAAACAGCATACACACATATGTATATATTATTTTCTTTAATTCTAAAAATGCAGAAAATGTGGGTTACGATTTTTGTATTTATACTTAGCTGTATATAAAACAATAGAAGTCTATGGAATGCCCTCATATAGCTTATTAAACATATGTATGTTAGCAAGAGAACAGGAGAATAGTGTTCTCAGTTACTTCATATAAACTACAGTAGGTCTATTGCAAAGTATCTCAAAATATGCATACACATCCATGCGATACATGCATCACAATATCATAATTGGATTGTGCCTGAAACAGCACCAAACACCCAACCGAGACCAAGTGTGTCCATCCAAGAAAGTGAATTGCGGTTGAGTTTCAATCTTTTTCGCACCTCATAGAAAAAGTTCTAACTGCACTGTGAAACAGCTATATTGCTTTTCAAATCCAAAGCCAAGTACTCTCTCACAGCTGATACTTTTTGTCTTTTGTTGATCGAACACTCAACCATGCATTGCCTCACCTCCGCCATTTGACCAATTAGTTGAAGAGGGAAAATTGTAATAGAGGATTTTTCGTAATTTGAAATGCTCTGTAATAGTTTATTTTGGTCTGGTATGTTTATTTACTCACCACTTGTCCTGGAAGCCCTGGAGGTCCTTGTGGTCCCTGCAAACATTAGAAACTGCTGCATACATCCCTATTCAGATAAATATAAATCACCCTAATCTATAAGAACAAGATGCATATGTAAAACTCACAGGATTTATTGAATTGAACAGTACACTGATATTTAAGTGCTGAAATAGGCCTATGCAAGGAGGAAAAACATGTTGCTTTCTAAAATGCAAGGGCAAACTGAAGACTATGAGAGTCAAGGATAAATAAGGCACAGAGAAACAGAGCATGTGAGGAGGCTCTAAGCTGAAGCTGCAGAGATTGTCTAATGACCTCTGTGGAGAGTTCAAACTCCTCTGAGCTGTTGAAATGACTCCAATATTGCGTTTTTATCTTACTATTGCTCCTGGAGTGCCTAGAGGTCCAGGTAACCCTCTGTTGCCCTGAGGTCCAGGAGGACCCTTGAAGAATGAAGAGAAAAGATTGAAGAGTGAGTAAACTCTGGTGGGATAGTTATGTAACTCCAAAAACACATTGCTGTGTATCAAATCGCCTGAAGGAAAGTTTTCATCGCTACTCAGCTGGAAAACTTACTTGAACTCCAATGCCTGGTTCTCCTTGGTCACCCTAAACATGACACACAAACATGTGTACATATACACACATTGTATATGTTATTTGTATCTGCAATACCAAAGCTTAGGAAATCAGGACACAAATAGGGACAAAATAACTAACATGGTTCATGCTGTTATTGTAGATTTAAAACGAATAAAATTATATGGTCCATGTCATAAAATAACCTTCACACCAGGAGCCCCTGGGGGTCCATTTCCACCCATCGATCCCTGAAATATCAAACCAAAGGTTAGAAAAAAGATATTTAATTTGAGTATGTACATTAAACTGAATATACGTACAGTTGGTCCTCTTATTCCTGGTTCTCCTGGATTCCCCTGTGCAAAATACACATTTGATATGAATAGCAGGCTGATACAAATATAAAGCACACAGATACACACATGCGCATATAAACAGCATACACAAGCTCTGAATGGACAGACATACTGTATACTGTACTTTTGACAAAGACTACAAACATTAGGCACATACACTACTGTTCCAAAGTTTGGGGTTGGTAAGATTTGTAAAATATTTTTTAGTCTATTATGCTCACCAAGGCTGCATTTATTTGATAAAAAATACAGTAATATTGTGAATATTATTACAATTTAAAATATTTTAAATAGTTTTCTATTTTACTATATTTGAAAATGTAATTTATTCATGTGATGGCAAACCTGAATTTTCCAGTTCTGTGTCACATGATCCTTCAGAAATCATTCTAATATGCTGATTTGGTGCTCAAGAAACATTTCTTATTATTATCATTGTTAAAAACAGTTGTGCTGCTTAATATATTCGTTAAAAATCTCTGATGAATATAAGGTTAAAAAGAACAGCATTTATTTGAACAGAACAATTTTGCAATATATTAAATGTATTTATTGTCACTTTTGAACAACTTATCCTTGCTAAATAAAATTATTATTTCTTTCAAAATAAAGAAGGAAAAAAAACCTACAGACCCCAAACTTTTGAATGGTAGTGTATAAAAATTAAACATTCACATTGCTCACAGAGACATCAAACATAATATATACTTCCAAGCACACTCAAGTATCTAATAGACATACACAAATGCACAAATACACACAAACAAACTACAGAGACAAGGACGGCCCCCTTCCCAATATAAGCAAAGCAGCCTAAAATCTCAGCCAAAGAAAATCTACCGGTCTGCCCAGCACTCCTGGGAACCCAGGCAAGCCCTAGAGAGAGGAAGGAAGGGATGGAGGGACAGGAAGTGTAGAGAGGTGTGATGGTCCAAATTTCAAGTGGAGTGGAATTAGAAGTTGAAGGGAGTGGGATTACAAAAAGGAGTGGAGGAGGAAAAGAGGAGACAGAGTGGTTAGCGGATAGAAGCGGTGCTGCATTTGTTACTTCTGTGATGTTTATCTATGGAGCCTCAGGCAAAGGAAGTCAGCTAGTGCTCACAGCAAGGCCTAGTACTCGCGTCAAATCCCCAGGCTTTCCTACATTGGCAAGTCCAAGAGAGGCTGCTGTGTTGGAATGCTGTTACTCATAGGTAGGCCTGGCGGACCGGCTGGTCCCTTCAAACCCTGCTCCAGAGGAGAATAAATAAATGTGTGAGTGAGAGTCAAAACTCTCCTCTTCCCCACTAATGCTAAACTCTCTTTGTGACAGCATGTTTTCATACTGAATGGCTACTAAAATACTATATAATTGACATATCTATCACAGTAAGTGATGAAAAGCAATCTGTTCTTAAACTTTAATCTGGTCTTAAAAGTTCTGCAGAATTCACAAAACATTAGCAGACTCAAATGAGAGCAAGAGATTTGTGGGACTCCCCGTTCTCTGATAATCTTACCGTAGTTTGTCATAATTACAGGAGACCAATGTGCATGACTGTTATATAATAGGAATGCATAAGGCATCATCGGAAGGTGATGCTTGCCTGTGCTAAGGACATTGCTATGCAGTTGGTATGGCATCTTGGGTGGTTGTTAGGGTGTTTTCAAAGTCCCTATGATATTCTGGTTCACAGTTAAGTCTCAGGTCCCTCAGTATCAGTTACATATTCAGTTTGTGTTTGTCTGTTTTATCGTCCACCAGACAAAAAATGACATCACTTGAAAAAGTAACAGCACAATTCTCCACAACAAGGCACACTATCTACAAATGGTGTGGGATAAGTTACACACCAAAGTTTAATACTTACTGTATCTGTCTAATAAGTATGAGCAAAACTAACTCAGATGCTTGCTTTAGCGCACATCAAACAAAAACATCAACATTAATTAGACATAGAGCAATTAAAATTCATTTGAATAATAAACTGGCAACACAGCCACTGGAATTTGTTTCTCACCGGCTTCCCATCCGCCCCTGGTTTTCCTGGCTCTCCTGGACTTCCCTAAGATAAAAGTACCATAGTTTTATTGTAAAAATTAAATGAATAGAGACTAAGCTCTGTTGTCAGTTAAGGCCAATAAAAGAGTATACTCACTGGTGAGCCATCGTTTCCACTTTCTCCACTGGCTCCTTTTTCTCCCTTTTCCCCACGAGGACCTGTGTAGCCCTGAGAGAGGGACAAATCACAGATCAGATTGTCAACTAAGGTCACAAACCTATAAAGTAGCATGCTGCCACACATACATTTTTCAGAAACTCCACCCTCACCCTCTCTCCTGTAGGTCCAGGAGGTCCTACTGGACCAGGCTCTCCTCTGATACCTTGAGGGCCTGGAAGACCCCTTGGACCAGGCAAACCACTCTGAGCGGAGACAGAATCCCCCTTAGAAAAAAAACACACATACACACGCTCAATATGTTAGTACACACAAAATTGACAACATTCAATTCTCAACATTCACTTGTGTACTACAAATGTGAGCTTCATTTTGTTTTACCTTTGGTCCTGGAGGTCCCCCTAGGCCAGGCAATCCAGCCGGACCCTAAAAAAGAAGATTTATTCCATATGAAAACAAGAAAGTAGGGTTTGAACATACACCAAGCACCAAATGCGAGCAAAATTTTCTGTTCGGAAATTACAATTCATACATGGAAAATATATATTATGAAAGAAAATGCACCAGCAAATAAATACATAATTTATTTATTAAATTATTTATTTTTGCTGGTGCATTTTTTTAATTCAACTGCCATTAGCAAGTGTGGCAAAGTTCATTTTAGACCTTGCGTGAACATGCATGAATTATAGTAATGGTACTTACAGCTGGCCCTCTGTCCCCTTTCTGCCCCTTCTCCCCCTGCAACAAAGACAAATTTTAATCTCATTTCTACAATAACTTTATCTCAAGTGTTTTCTTTGATCAACTCTGTATCTCATAAAAGATGTAAAACAGCTATAGTAACAAAATACCAATGCTCTTCTTTTCTTTACCTTGTCCCCAGGTCTGCCAGCTTCTCCAAGTTCACCGGCTCGTCCTGGTACTCCTGGTATTCCTGGCTTTCCAGGTTCACCTGCCTGTCCTGGTGGACCTTCTGGGCCTCTTTCTCCAATTGCCCTGCCTGGAGGACCCTGTGGGCCAGGAGGCCCTTTCTCACCGTGCTCTCCTTTCACACCTCATTCACCTGGAAGACCTCGTGCACCCTGAAAGCCAGTATGCAAGGAAGAGAGAACTAGGTTTAAAAAAGGAAGAAGAGGAGAGGATAAGACCATGAAGAAATACAGAGAGTTGCTGGATGTTTTCTAATCAGAAATACGTTTCAGCACCATGGTCAGCGCCCAATGAGTTTTTGCATGATCTTCATTGCAAAAGGTATCGTGACACACTACTCATCCAACTATTCAACTACCAGACACCACTCTGTCTCACATATGCACGATTTTAACTCACATCTGCTCCTGGAGGGCCTCTAGGTCCGACATCTCCTTTTTCACCCCTCTTTCCTTCTGTCAATTCACTCAACTTTGATACCAGATTGCTTCTGTCATCAACAAATTGTTTCAGTTCTCTGACCTGCAAAGAATAGGAAAGAGGGTGACATGTACATCTACATACAAACTCTGTCAATCTTGTTGATAAATTTCTCAGTACCTCAATGCCAAATTCTGACAAAGCTCTCTTCACATCCTATGACAAAACAGGGGGAAAACAACATTAATCATCTTGCCAGCCATGCATGTGTGACTTTGTGTGCGTGAGTGTTTTCCTCACCACTATAGTTCCTGGTTTGCCATCCTCTCCTGGATCTCCCTGTCAATCAAAAGAGTTGAATTATTACAGTCAGGTATGCTAAGAACTGCCTTGTGTCAGCTCTGAGAGCAGTGACCACTAAAAGACACATTCGTAAAAATACACTCACCGCATCTCCTTTCAAGCCTGGCAGATCTCTCTCCCCCTACAAAGGTCACATTATGACAACATGCGTCATGATATCTAAAAAAACACAACATATTTACTTGCACACACACACACAGACAAACTTACTCTTGGTCCAGCAGCTCCTGGGACTCCAGGTACTCCCTGATTGATAAAAAGTAATACATATGAACAGTGTTGGGAGTAACGCATTACAAAAGTAATAATATTACAGTAGTATATTACTTTTTGCTGTAACGCAGTAATATAACGCACTACTAATAAAATTTGGGTAATATTATTACTCGTTACAATCTCAGTAACAAGTTACAACAACATTTTAACTCAAAATTAAGTGGTGAATTTACCAACACCGCAAAACTGAAATTTTCGCGGGTAAAATAGTTTGTCTATTTCCTGTTGCTGGAATTAGATGGTTGAGATGACTGCGGAGACGGATTCTACATTTGTGAGATGGACACACTCATGTTATTTTCAGTTCGTCGGAGAAAAGGATAAGAACGCATAGTCAGGTGCAATATGTGCGACACCAAACTCTCAACATGGAGAAATAGCACGAGTTATCGGAGAGAGCTGCGGGGTCGGAGAAGAGAAAAAAGGCGGTGGACGAGCGTAGACAAGCAACAAAAATAAGTTTAACTAAAATTAACAAAATCTGTTTTTATTAAATCATCAATTTAATAAATCATCAATCAATATAAAATGAATGAATATGTTAAATATTTGACTTAAATAGCCTAATTAACAGATTAACAAAACGAAAGGAAAATGAGAGATATGCTGCTGAGTTTGGTTCTATTTGTGTGACACGGCGCTCTGCGAAAGTCCACGGAAAGGAAACCGAGATGACAGAAATAAAGTAAACACACTGCAGTTTCAAATGATCTGTATGACCAAAAATAACAGAGTATTTTTTTGTTGTTTGTTTCCGCTGTTCGATCGCGCCGACGCCTCACGCACACACATACAGCATTGCAAACGTTGCAGCCTGTTCATTATCAGAATAAAATACAGTCAACCAAACATATAGATAAACTGGTTAATTTAAATAGTGCATACTGCGTAGTTACAATCCGTGCCGTTCAGCCTGAGCTCGCGCCAAACACACATTTGCTCATGTGACGAGGATGTTTTTTAAAGCAGGTTAAGTAAGCCTGGTTTACATAATAAATAATAGTTTTGCATTCAAATACGTCTCAAATATGGACACATTTAATTGGATTAATGCCGAATGAGAGAGGTAGGCTGCGCGAGAAAGCCATTTGCTTTCAGTTTTGCATTGAATTAGCCAGCCTAATTCATCGTTTTGGCTTGTTTAGCAACTTATATTTTTCATTCTGGTTTTCTTCTGAAACCGTTCAAAATAGCATATAGGCTAGGTATTGTGTTAATTGTTTGTACATTATAACATTTCGCTTTATTTACTGGAGTTCAATAAACTACATTTTGGCATTTTGTAATACTTACTTATGTGGATATTTTGGTGAAAGTAACTCAAAAGTAGTGTAACACATTACAATTCAGAGACAGTAATATTGTAATGTAACTAATTAATTTCAAAAGACAGTAACTAGTAATGTATAATGTATTAAATTTTGGAAGTAACTTGCCCAACACTGCATATGAAAGATACAATACATAGCTGCTCTCATTTTGTCTGTATTTCATTCAAACAGTGATTAAATATATGTATTTAGGCTTTATTATATAACTAAACAAGATTTTCCCAATTTCAGAAGAAAATGTAAGTGGTGCTGTAGAGCCAGTAGTGGGATATGTTACTTACAGGGGCTCCTGGGGGCCTGGAATAGGTGTTGCTGGCTCCCCTTTAACATACACCACCTGAAAAAAAAAAACAGAAAGATTGAGATATACAGCTCTTTGCATAAATTAAGCATCCTCCAGAATTCTCATGCGATTAATAGAGTAGCAGAGTAGTCTATTTAAAATCAAACATATGCACAAACACAAACACACAGGTCCTGGTGGTCCGACATTTCCAGGAACTCCAGGGGGTCCAATGGGACCTTGAGGGCCAATAAGTCCTGCAATGCCCTGATCACCTTTCAACCCATCTCGACCCTGAGGATAAACAGAGAGAGAGGGAGATGAGAGAAATAACCATGATACAAATTAATTTCTTAATTAATGGGCATAAATTTGCACATCAAATAAACTCATCAATGAAGAGTTTCTCCTATAAGGCTGCTGACTCATAATTACTGACTGCACTCAGCATCAAGCACAGGAAGAAGAGCATCCATGCATTTAAAATGTGGGTGAGTGTGTGTGTGTGTATGTTTGCGAGTGTGTTTCTATGATTGAAAACATCCATTTAACAACAAATCTGATTTGTGCTGATGGGAAAATTAGCTGTGCAAGACTAAAAAGCGAGTAAAAAGGGCAAAGAGATATAATGACATGGACTGAATCACAGAAAACAACAACATCTGAGTACACTGAGTCAAATGTGGCCACAAATCGCAGAGAAGAAAACAGCAGGTACAGACAAGGAGTACAAAATGAAACAGCCGACACTTACAAACAAGAACAGCCTTTACAAGCCTTTATAAGTTACATGCTTACCTTTGATGCCATGTAGTGAATGAAATTCACAAAATGGTAAAAAATAACATTTTCCGTAACATAGCTGTCAGAGAAGCCTTAAAATGTACATTTTGAAAGTGTTATGTAGTGCGGAGTATGATAAGCTGTGATGGACTTGTCTTGTGTTGTGAAAGGCAGGAAGAGAGTGAGAACAGGATGATCAGGAAGATAAAGACAAAATGACACACATCTCTTCCAGTGGGCCCAGGCTCTCCTTTATCTCCCTGCAAAGAAGGCATAACCAGATTCGATCAGAGGCTAATTATCAAAAATTACAATGTAATCATACACAAGTTTTCACCAATAGGTGTTTTATTACCTTTCGACCATCCTCTCCTGGCACGCCATCCTCGCCCTGAAAAAGATGAGGCACGAGGCATTAAACACAGACATCTGGATGAGAGCGAGGCACATTTTCATAATTTCTGTAATCAAGTCTTCCTGTAATCAGCTCTTCCTGTTTTGGTATGAGAACTCTTGTAATTTTGTGCGACTCATTCTAGCAGTAATTTCTCTTCTAAAAGCTTCGTGCAACACGCAGCCTCGTATTACAGATATATGACGGGTGCCATCCAGCCCAATATAGCTCCTGCAATTACCTGTAATGTGGTGTTTTGTTTCATGTTCATGTTTTCCATGTCTTTTATTTTGTTACCACAGCTGGTTCAGGGCTGTGATCAGTAAATCAGAAGAAACTGCAGGACGAGCGGGTTTTGCGTAAGCTCAGCTCCAGTGGAGTAATCTATTTGAGTCAGGTTAACCAAACTTTAGTACACGGCTGACTGAAACTCCTCACATATTTTAACTATAAAGCATTTATTAGTCAGAGTTACCTCCCACTGAAAGCCCATTAGGCTACTAAGAGGGTGATTTATTATCAGCAGGATTTAATCGTCTCATTTATGGAGGTCAAGGACTGTGGTGTGGTTACTAAACTGGAACGAGAGTTTGCATGCTGCATTCTAGATTGTGCCTTGATAAAAAAATTTTTAAAAAGCCTCAGGATTTAAAGTACCAAGTGCTGGCTTGGAAATTAACACATGCTACTGATATTACAATTAGGTTGTTGAATATATCAATATGTGAGAATATTTTACAAAAATATGTTGCATTTACAGTATATTCAAATGTTTCTGAAAGGATGTTGGGTTTTCATTAGGATTACAGCATTACTTACAGGTTTTCCAGGCAGTCCTGGTTTCCCATCCTCCCATGCTTTGCCCTGAAATAAAGCATAACATTATTTTGATGTGATAACGTGCTTATGCTCCAGTATGGGAATTTGCATGGATAAATGATTTTCACAGATTAAGCTGTGATATTACTCACAGGTGTGCCATTAGCTCCTGGTGGTCCTGGAGGCCCCTGAGGCCCTCTTAGTCCCGCCAAGCCCTAGGAAACAACAATTAAATGTTAAACAGATTAAAAACTGGATTGATTTGTTGCAGCAAACAGTGGCAACATCATGATGCAACAAACAGATGATTTGACATACGGAGGGACAGGAGTACTCACATCTTTTCCAGGATCCCCTTGTTTTCCTGGGTCACCCTACAAAACCAAAAACATCAAGGATTCAGATTGATAGAAGATCCTTTGAATATGAAGCTGATGCAAGGATTTAAGTTATTATCTGACCCGTAATCCAGGAGCTCCAGGCGGCCCAGGTTTCCCATCCTGACCGGGTCGTCCATCCAATCCAGCCGCTCCTCTTTCTCCCTGCACACGCATGCACACATATACAGAAACAATCCACATTAACTAGTCTGTGGCACACACACACTGTAAATACACAAAACAATCAACATAACTCAAAATCAATTTCAATTTTCTCAGCATTGAGTCGTCACCAACTTAAATGAATAATAATTCGAATGGGTTGACTGACAGATCCAATCTTTGTCACTAATAACACCTTTCTGAAAGCATCACACATATGCATGCCAAAAGCAGCAGTCATCAGCTTAATTAATGTAATAAAATCAATGAAGCCAGTCTAAAAACCTACACAATGATTATGAAAGGAACAGAGATCAAAAAGATAAATTAGATGAGGACTGGTACAAGTATATGTCACAAGGGTCAGACACAAATTAATTGGCTATACGTCTGTTGTAGAAAGCCACAACATGGTTTACAATATTCCTCGAGACATCAGTGAGATCTTGTTTTCTCATTTCCTCCCACTATGAAACAAAACCTTGTTTCAGTTCTGTAGCACAAATGTTAGACAAAGATTAAACAGTCTCGCAGACAGCCAATACCAAATAATTGCAGCGCTAGTGAGACCTGCTATTTAAAACCCCACAAGGTAAAACCTGACATAATGAAGTGTGTCACAGCTTCTGCAGTATAGAGAGATCCATGACTAAGCAGTTATATTTATACTTTACACTGATTACTGCAGCCAGTTTTACCACTTCAGCCATTTTTCAGCTGTCTACCACTGTATGACACTCACTTTTCAAAATATTCTCATTGCTGCACTCTAAAATAGAATGATTTTTGCAGGGGTGCTTACACCTGCTTTTGAAGAGATATTTAAGGAAGCTGCTTACTTTATAGATGCCTCATTCAAACAGTAATTGATGGTAAAAATTGTACGGCTGAAGCAAGGTGTTCAATTCCTTGTTCAGACATCACAATCCTCTTTCTATAAAATTCATTGCAGGTTACGTCTACTTGGCATTTGCTTTACATTAAAAAATACAATATACACATCCGTTCAAATGGTTGGGGTCAGTAAGATATTTTTTAAAGAAATTAATACTTTTATTTAGCAAGGATGCATTAAATTTATCAAAAGTTACAGTAAATACTGACACTGTTACAAAAAAAATGTTTCAAATAAATGCTGTTTTTCTGAACTTTCTTTTCTATGCTGATATGCTTCTATGCTATTACAGTTTCGACAAAAATATGAAACAGCACAATTGATTCCAACATTGATAGTAATAAAAAATTATTTTTGAGCACCAAATCAGCATGTGATTTCATGATTTCTGATAGTTGATGTGACATGGAAGACTGGAGTAATGGCTCCTGAAAATTTTGCTTTGTCATCACAAGAACAAATTACATTTTAAAATATAATAAAACAGAAAACTGTTATTTTAAATTGTAAAAATACTTCAAAATATTACTGTTTTTCCAGTATTTTGAGAAAATAACAACAAGTGTTGTTCCTCTGGAGCTGGAGGAACAACGGCCTGTTCACGTCTGTCAATTCTAACAGAAAACCCTTAAGCAATCCAAAGCTTCGACATATGTCGGAAAGACTCTAGGTCTAAATGCATGATTTATTTACAAAGATTTGCGGCTGAAAGGCACTGTTGAAAAATTTAAGCACTGAATATTGTTTAGTAATCGCATCATGATTTCAGATTTCCTGAATCAAAATGTAATCAAATCGTAAGGTGCCTAAAGAATACCACCCATATATAAAACTGAACCTGCGGCCTTTGCATTAAGCAGTGCAGATACTTAACCTTTAAGCTAATACTACTTCCTGTCAGAATTCCTGTCATTTAAAGAAAGTTGATTTCTAACAACTTTAAAATGTGTATGCTAAATATGTTTTGTATTTCATGTCTTGTGGTCATGTTAATGGTCTCAAAAATGGTCTTGTTTGCTGTTATGGAACATGAAGGTCAAACAATTCACCCGTCTAAAAAATCTACAGCCTAGACATGGTACTTAAAGAAGTAAAAGCAACGTCCCACAGTAAACCAAGAAAACTGGCTCTTTTACCTTGTCTCCTGGACTGCCCCTATCGCCTGGGTCACCCTAGAAGAAACAGAAAGCTGAATGAGTTGTACAATCTGCTATTAAAAGTAATGACTCCTGGTGTGGTACTACAGTGGAGATTTAATGAAAAATCAGTTATCTGAATGTTTAGAATGAATTCAGTTGCATAATATGGTTCCCACTGTCCTAAATAACTTTGTGTTTGAATGGGATTACGTACTGTATATCATCATATTTAAGGTGATGATACATGGTGCAATGTTGCCGGGCAAATAATGTTGCTTGTGTACTTTCCCATTGAAAATGGGCAACAAATTTCTATCTGGATACTTTAGATCGGTCGTAGGCCCTGTGTCTCACCTGGTTGCCCGTTGACGGCAACATTGCTCAGCAGCATTGCTCAAAAAGTTGCCCCATGTATCATCACATTTAGAGTCAGTGTGTATGCGGTCAAAAACAAACAAAAGAAATGTCTAAACAGATAAAAGGCTCAAAAGCAGTAGGAGGTTCTTACTCTGGCTCCTGGTAGCCCACGCGGCCCCTCAGGACCCTAAACAACAAATAGGTTAAGATACAAATCACATTACTCTCAATTACACATACTGTCTGATCACCATACTGACTTACGCTTGGTCCTGGCGAGCCTGAAGCTCCTGGTTCACCCTTTTGACCTTTAGCCCCGTGCTCCCCTGGGTCACCTGCCTCTCCCTGGTGTTAGAACAAGAGTATCACAACGACAAAACCAGAATACGCATGATAGACAGAATTTAAAGACTATGAACATTTTACTGTACCTTTTCTCCTCTGTCACCTTTCAGCTGTTTCTCTCCAGTTGTCTAACAGAAAGAACAAATTCAAAAGATTTCAAAAACAGCAGGTTATTTAAATAAACAGGGGGTGTAGAAAAAAGTACAGTGAGACGATAATGATTTTAAAACATACCACATCTCCAGGTGGCCCAGGGGGACCTTGTATTCCCTATAATTACCCATAATAAAGATGTTAGATGGCACTTTCAATGTTTGTGTAGAGGTCCAAACATGTGTGAATTTGTGTTGAGTGAGAAGCTTCTGATATTTCACCTGCTCTCCCTTTGGGCCTCTTGGTCCGATGGGACCTGAGGTACCCTGCGCAGAACAAAGCACTGATCACATGTCTAGACAAAAATAACCCAATAGTCCTAAATACCGTGCAGCGATGATTCAGTGTTGTTTTATTCAAAGGCAAGGTTGATGTTTTTAATTGTATGGTTGTTTATCCAATAAAATTCATTATCCAATAAAATATTAGTTTTGGGGTCATGGGCCTGGATTTCAATACGATGAGCTCTTAGAATTACTGGTCGTTATATATAAGGAACTATTTGATATAAAGTCATAGTGACTACAAATAAAGGATGTAAAAAGAAATTATATTTGCTGACAAAATGGGAATCTATTAAAATTCCTTTTTCACTATTAATCTAATATCTATTCTATTAATATTCCTATTCCTTGTGCTTTAATGGTGTACTGTACTTTGTATTAAAATAATTTTTGTTTATTCCATCATAAATTTCTTTCATTCAGTTTTGTTTTTAAAGAATAACAAAATTCAGTATAAATAATTATTCTGTATAAATAATTCCGGCTTAAAAAAGAATTTTTTAAAAATATTTAGTTAGGCATGACCATGCCTTAATTTTGCTGAAATACATTTAGGCAGTCATATGTCTTACATTTCCTCCATCTTCCCCCGGATCACCTGTGTCTCCTTTTGGCCCAGGTTGACCTGGTTGACCTGGCAGTCCCTGAAATATTAAAAGACCACTGTTAGGATGTAGCGGGAATACAAACTACAACGATTCGCAGCATCAGATAACAAATCTGTGAACTCACTCTTAAACCTCTTTCCCCTGATTTACCCGGCAACCCTGATTCACCCTGAGAGACAAGAGAAACAGACAAACATTACATACAAAACACAAACATACTCACAAATACAGGAATGATGAAAAAAAACTCACTGGAGTGCCATCCTCTCCTTTGTCTCCTTTTAGTCCCTAAAGAAACAAAATAACACATCGGACTTCCTGACATTAGCTATCTTATTTCTGTTAATTATTCACACAAAAAAATTAGTGTCAAGAATGACAATACAATTCCATATTTCAGAAGCCACCAAAGCAAATACAGTAGCTTTAAGGAAGTGTGGAGCAGAATCTAAAGACAAGGAAGAAAAATACCCATTACCTTGACTACTTGTTACTTCGGTGAGAAAGAAATATGTTAGAAGAAAAACAAGAAAGAGTTCAATGTTAAAAAAGCATTGAATAAATCTCATTACCAAAGCAGATTATTTATAAGGCTAAAGTATAAAGAGCAGTAACTTTCAAAACACCTGATATGTTAAGGGTGATGTATCATAGACACACTTAAAATGTTAGATGATGAGCATTAGTTGCAGATGAAGTTGTTAGAAGCAGCTTTTAGTAGAGGCCTGTGTTCATGTATAAATGGGTGCAGACTCTCACATCTTTCCCTCTGGGGCCCATGGGCCCCTGTGGACCAGTACTGCCTGCCTCCCCTCTCTCTCCCGAGTCACCGTGACTGCCCTAGGGTCGCATAGAGAAAAGAGAGAGTGCAATGTATGACAACTTCATCAGGCCAATGCTGAGTCATTTCCATGAACATATGCTCTGGAGTCACTGGAGCGAGAGAGACTGTTTCAGGGTTTACTTTACCTTCGCACCAGGTTTTCCAGACAATCCAGTGAGACCCTGTTTAAATAAATAAGCAGTATGTTAAATATTATGACCAGGGGTGGACTGGGGCTAAAAAGTGGCCCTGGACTTTCTGACACAGAGCGGCCCACCACACCCGGTCCGCAACACCATAAACCCACCACCAGCTCATTATGCACAGAGCAATTTTAACACCACTAACTAACATAAAAATATAACATAATACAGAAATATAATTGTTTTTATTTATTTATTTTATTGAAATGCGTATCATTGACATTAATGAATGACTGGCATACTACTTTACTAGTCCATATACCAATGTTCTACTTTGGTCTGAAAGACTTGGAATGTAGTGTTGAATGTGGATTGTTTTTATGGTGCCTTTCTATTCGTCTTATATTTGTCCTTTTGCAGGAGCTTGACATCTCCTGTCATTTTATTGAATAGAGCTCCAATTGTGGAAAAGAGTATAAAAATTCTTACGATGATGAAAAATACAGTAATATTGTGAAATATATAATGCTACAGTTTAAAATAGCTCTTTTCTATGTGAATACATGTTAAAATGTACATTTCTGATTATTATCAATGTTGAAAACAATTGTGTTGCCCAATATTTTTGTGGAAAATGTGATACATTTCCAATCAGTCTGGGGTAAGATTAAAAATATATAAATTAATACTTTTATTCAACAAGGTTGCATTAAATTGCTCTAAGTGACGGTAAGAGATTTATACTTATTACAAATTATTTATATTTCAAATAAATGCTGTTCTTTAACTTTGTATTCATCAAATAATCCTGAAAATGTTAAAGTATCACAGTTTCCAAAAAAGAAAAAGTTTAGCACTGATAATAATAAGAACCATTATTAATAATTGAGCACAAATAATAACTGATAATAATTAAGCAGCAAATCAGCATATTAGAATGATTTCTGAAGGATCATGATTCATGTGACATTGAAGACTGGAGTATACTGAAAATTCAGCTTTGATCACAGCAATAAATTACATTTTAAAATAGCTTAAATAAAAAAACACTTTTAAATGTAATATTTCATAATAGTGTTTTTACTGTATTTTTGATCAGATAAATTCAGCCTTCTTTCAAAAAATAAATAAAGTCTTAATTACTTCAAACTTTCGACCGCAAGTGTGTATATAAAATAATGCATGTGAACTAATAATCAAGTCATATTTTTATTATAATAGACTGTATATCCTAATCACGGCAATTGAAAACGAAAATCTTCAGATTTACAATGTTCTTGTATAAGTTTGAGAATAATATTTTAGAGTTTTCTGAAACATTTTCTTAGACATGTGAAATTACGGAAGAAAGCCTGGATAGATAAACATTCACTCTTATCTCATGTCTGCTGAAAACTGCTACGTTATGTTTCTATGTAGGCTACATGTGACGAATAAAGCAAATGGCATTGAAATCAGAGTAATTCGAAAAAGCCAGTAGTAGTTTGCATCCCTGAAAATTAATGTCTGTCGTCATTTAATATTTTTTTTATCGTAAACAGTTGGCAAATATTGCTGAATTGTCTCGTCATGTTTAGCTGCTTATCTTACCTCAGCTCGCATTCAAGCAGCTCAGCTTCTGTGAACAGTAAATCCCGCCTTCTTCGATTTGATTGGCTATTTCAAACATTTTGACATTGACGAGTGCTTTTGAGCCGCTGCACTGAACCAGAACACGCTAAATTAATTAGAATTTTTGAGTCAAGTGGGACGGGTGGGACATTCGTCTGGGCCGATGGACGGATATAGGCTACGTACACATAATATAATTCATTCTTTATATATATTTACACAATGGGCCGGCCCGCATTGTACAGCGCCCACCGGGAAAACTACCGGTGCTCCAGATGGCCAGTCCGCCACTGATTATGACTACTACAACAGCAGGTGATTCTGTATTTCAGTTATGCAGAACCAAAGCCTAAAACTGAGGCTTTACCTTAATACTTCTACTGCCTTAGAAACTCTGGCATTTCCATATGGAAATGCAAATCTAGTTTATCATGAAGACAAACTTACCCGATCACCCTGGTCCCCTTTAGGTCCGGGTTGGCCAGGCTCTCCTGCTCCAGGGGCACCCTGTGGGATAGATTAGAAAGGTCCAATCATACAGTTTCACAATTTCAGATGTACCTTGAAATTAATTATTAATAATAATAATAATAAAAACTTTTATTTCACAAGTATGTGTGATCACCGTAAGTAAACTCAAATAAGTGTAATTTCCTTTTTAAAATATCCTCACTATCTCATCCGAGCAAACATTTCCTAGATGGACACCTTCATTCATTCACAAAACTCACCCTTTCCCCTTTTTGTCCTGCATCACCTTTAGCACCATCAGGACCTGGGAGGCCCCTTTCACCCTAAAGGAAGAAAAAGAAGAGTTAAAATAGTTTTGAATGGAACTTCAGCAGAAAAATAAAACAGATTTGAGTGGGTCTGTACCATTTGAATGTCAATATAAAAATGGACTTAACATAAGAATAAAACAGAAATACTGTTATCTGACATAGTCTCTGCATTGTTCTCAAAAGTCATACCCGCTCTCCTTTCTTCCCAAATGAACCTGGACAGTCCTAAAAAAGCCACAGTGAGCAATGTCAGGAGTACCATTACAAATGAATGAAATGTTCATATGAATTTGAAAACATGAAAATTCTGATCTTACACAGCTTCCTGGTTCCCCTTTTTCACCCTCGGCACCCTTAAAGCAAACAGAGATACATAAATAAAGATATATATATATATATATATATATATATATATATAAATTGAATTGTTTTACGTAAATTACTTGTCAAGTCTAATGCTGTTCTTGTAACGGAAATTTAAATCTGATACACAAAACATCAAAGAATTGTAAAACAGGTCTAAAAACATGACAAAGCCAGTCTAATAAAATGATCTGTAACACTTTACATTAGCTTTAACTTGCATTAACTAACAATGAGCAACACATTTGTTACAGTATTTATTAATCATAAAAC